CAGGAATGTGAAAAGTACTGCTTATCATTTTAGACTGTTACATTCACATGAGGTGTAAGAGGACAAGATGTCTAAGGAGTCACTTGAAAGTTCAGAGAACTTAGTCTTTGGGCAAAAAGAGGGTATAAAATGCCTGAAACTAACACTGTTACATGAAGAAAGCACTCAATCAGACAGATGCCAGGACTTCTGTCAATTAACCTACTCACCACCATCACCCTCCTGGCTGGGTCCCTTCGACTTAGTCTCAGAACTGTCTATCTTTTTTTTCTTATCAACCACCTTCATAATTTTCAGGATGTTTATGAGCAGACACCCCCGCCTCCAACAAATCAGTTCTCATTCAAACTCTCCTGTGAAGGCAAGTTAAAGGGTCTGATTCCAGAGGAAAAAAGGTAGTGCTCCCTCTTCACAGCTGGGTTAAACAAAGCTGGAACTCAAGGGCATATTGTTAAGAACAAGTCCCCAGTGTCCAGATCAGTAAACAATGTTTCTCATAGAAAGAAAACTCTCCATTGTGCCCTTCCAGTTTCAGATCCAGGCAAGGCCCTTTCCCTGTTGTTGCCAACCCCATGCCTAGGACTCGTTCCTAGGGACTAGGAAAGGTGATCTGGCAGTGAGAACAAGTCATAGAGCTTTACCTGCTGGGTTCTTCCCTTCCTTCTTTGCAGTTAGTCCCTAGTAAGGCCAAAGTAGCAATTACTGGGAATCTGGCAGCCTCTGTTCAAGTTCCTGGGAATTCTGACTGCAGCTGATGCCAATGCTGATGATTAAGGGGAAAAACAGTAATTTTAAATATTCATGCAAATTTCATGTCTAATCTAGACATTTAAAAATTAAAAAGAGAGAGAGAGAGGACATATAGTAATAAACATTGGGAAAGACCACAACTGGTATCTGCATTGTACCTGCAAAGATCTGAAAGCAAACTGAAGGTTCTCCAGGTCCCAATGCCCTGTCAGTAACTTGCTAGACACTCTCAATTACTTCAACAGAAGTTACTCCACTGTTACGCAACTTAGCAACTAGAGAGATGATAAACTGAAAATCTATTCCCTTGGACCTTAACATCACGGTGACCTAGTGCCTTACAGCCATCCAGTGATAAAATCTCCTTACACATGACTGTCCATTAAACACTTCAAATCAAATGATGCTCGTTCTTCATCACTGGTCTCTTCTGGGGAGAGGACCTTTAGTTTCTCTAATCTCACAGATTTCATGGGAAATCCAATGACTCCACAGATTTATCATCCTTCTTATCCTTTTGTGCCCTTCAGAGTGTAAACACAGGTCTGTGTGCAATCCCACTTCTACAAATCAAATTAGGAAGCTAATACAATTGAAAACCAGAGCCAGGGCCAGCTGAGTCAAAAAAGACCCCATCCGGCAAGATCATTCCCGGAACCTGAGTTGCACCCTCACCCAGCTCTAGTTCTAACTGCCTATACTTCGCATAACTCTTTACGCTGATCTCGGACCTAAGTAAGTAAATATAAACGTTGTCTTCTGCCACGGGCGCTAATAACTGTGTTAGCAGGAAATAAAACGGTCTCACAGAAATACAAAGTTAGGGTCACTGTCATCAGCTGTTTTTCAAAGACAGAGACGCCTCTAAGACTATACTGAAACTTTTCAATGCTCGAGGTGGGAGCTGATTAAGTCACAAAACCGGAACTGGAGCCCCTTCTCTACCCGCAAGACAGGGTCCCGCTGCGGGAGTACGGGGAACCTCCGGGAAAGCGGAGTCAGGGACCGGCTTCGGGGAGGGAGGGGCGCCTCCCTGCACCCTGCTCGGGGCGGGCCTGGGCACTCCGCGGGCTGCAGCAGCACGGACATTACCCCTTCCCCGGCGACCACAGCCTCCGTCTCACCGCGAGCCCCGGGACGGCTGGACTCACCCTAGGGGCAGGGACGGGAGACTTGGGGGGGACCGGACACAGACCAGGCCCTGTTGGACCCTGTCACAGCCCCACACACCGGGGACAGAACAAAGAACGGAAGTTGCCCCCGCTTCGCTTCCGGGTCGGTCCTTTTCACCACCCACCACTCTCCCGTGCCCTCGAACGCCCACTTGTTTTCTCTAGGAACATGGGAGGTCTTCGCCTCTCGGTGGTTTGCTGACTCGGCCCTTGACTGCCGACGAGGGCAGAAGGTCCCAGCGCTGACGCGGCACTAGGCTGCTGGCTGCGCCCCCTGCTGGCCGATTCCCGCGCCGAGGGACTGAAAAGCGGCCTCTCTCGGCCTCAGGGCGCATGCGCTGGTGCGGTAGGACGCTGTCTCTGTGGCTAGTGCAGGCTCTCTGCATCCCAAAGGGTCGCAGCAAAATTAAGACCGTTGAAAAATTCATCAACACAAAACTCCAGGGCCTGCAGGTCGCGTTGTGGGTAAGGCACTGAACTCCCACATATGTAACAACAGTTTGAATCCTGGACCCAGGCCTTGAATCACTCTGAACACATGTGTCTGCATGCCCAAAATCCTGGCCGGAGAATGGAAGAGAAGAGATTGCACCATTATCATTGGTGGTGCGGGAGAGGGGTGGTGGTGGTGGTGGTGGAGATTTCTCACTTTCCCCCTCGCTGTGTCTCTCAAGGGATTGGCCAAAACAAAAAATGGTTGGGCTAGCTGGGTGGCGTAGATCCCATATGGACACCGGGCAGGTGGGCATGCCTCCTCTCCCGAGAGGATGGAGAAGAAGGGATTGCAGCGTGGCCATCCCTAATGGGGATGGTTTTTTCCCCCCTTACTAGCTGGCGCCAGGGTTGGACCTGGTTAGTCATGGAAGAAGGTATTGCAGCGTGGCCATCCCTAATGGGGATGGTTTTTTCCCCCCTTACTAGCTGGCGCCAGGGTTGGACCTGGTTAGTCATGTATTGCTAGAATCCAGCTCCCAGTGCACAATGCTTAACCACTGGGCTATGAAGCCAACTCAGCCTTTATTCT